CCTTCTACTTTCATCCTGTTCTGAGAACACAAAAATATTCATTCTTGGTTGTTTTGTCATGAATCACAAGACTATCCTTCTGACTTGCACAGTCAGATTTATTCTAAGTACCCTTTCTAGGCAGTCACATGTTGCCTGTTCATATTTGAAAATAGGATTTTTTTTTTTTTTTTTTTTATTACTTTCATCTTGTTGTGGTGGGATTTCCTTAAACCTGCACTTTTTAACAGTGGTGATGCTGTATTATTATTTTTATGAAAAGCATCACTTGCTAAACCATAATGTGATCAATTTAACTTTTCAGCATTTTCCCTCAGAACAAGACTCTGCACAACAGACATGATGATACTCTTGTTGAAATGTAAGGTGCCTGACCAAAGGCCTCATCCGTCAATTCAAAAAAAACAAACCTTTGTGTAAGAGGCGTCTGAAATACACTGATTGTCACACTCGACGCAGGAATTTTCATGTCACAAATAAACAGCTCTTTGGTTTCACAATGTCGTTGGAAGGAAGCGATGTGGCTATCACAAGAAGTGGTCTGGAATGCTGCAGTAAATTTGGAAGCTTAACAAGAAGGACAACTATAAAAACAGTGGTGTTGACACAGTGCTTAGGTTAACAATTTCTTGAATGTACAAAGCGACGAGGAAGGAGGATGAGTTTGACACAAGACACTAATCCTGTGATGCTTCAATTATTTTTAACTTTAATATTTCAAGCAATATTAAAAGTAAAGTTTATCACAAACTGTTTGAAATGTATTTGACTTTTGGATTGTGCAACAGTCACTTTCTCTTCTGTTTTCACTGCGACTTGGTTTCTGACTGAGATCCCATTTGGGGGGGAAAAACAGAAGAGAAAATGACTTTTGCACAAATTCCCCAATCTGATTTCTAACTTTTACTTAAACAAAAATGGATTTCCTGCCTATCAAATCGATCTAGCTCATTGTTCACAAAATGCATAACCTCAATCCACATGTACTTTTCTTTTTCCTTGCCCCTCTAGGCACCCGTGTGAGCTCAGGGTCACCTGACCTTCATTCCTCAGGCTTAAATTATTAGCTTTTAATTGTATTGACTTTAGGAGGGCTGTACTTTTTGGCAGTGAAAGAGCATTGTAGACTCGTATCAAACAATGCATCCTCTGGGCCCAGTGTGGCTTGCGCTGACCGCACCCTGCGTATAAATATGTTTTGTGGTTTACATTTGAAATCTGCTTTAAACAACAGAAAATGTCCAGTTTCGAAAGCAGAGCAGTTTTCTTGTGTGCCGACTGCTTTTAGTGGTCTCTATAAAACTGCCATGTCACAAGAAGGAGCAGTCGTCAGTTTAATGGGTTCAGTGACCAGGAACTTAAACTGCTGGGTTTATTGGTGGAGGCAGTATTGTGCCTTAACTCGTGGCCTGACTCTTGTACACAAACAGCCAGCCTCAGTGTGGGATGAGGGATGCCCTCAGTTCCTTGTAGCACCTCCTCTCAGATATCAGGCCATGTCTGATGAGTGGTTCGAACCAGGGCAAAGCATCTTGGGAATTTCTGTTGGGAGCGTTTGTTTGGTGAGGGATGAGCTCTCTGCTCCAGTAACTGCGTTTCAGACCTGCTGAATCAGGAAATGTAAGAATGCGCCTCCCTGAGGACACCGGCAAGACAGAGGGAGGGGGGGTTGTATTTTTTTTTCTTTAGAAAATTAGTTTGCATTTTTTAATTTCTCTAGAAATGTAACTGTTTAAAAATGATCTGTTCAGGGTTCTGTTTGAACAGGAAAAATGATCCTGGCATGACAGGTTTGACCTTAAACCTTTGTGTTTTTGACACCGTTTAAAACAAATGCTGTTCTGCTTTGAGTCAAATTTCAGCCCCTGAGATATTCTCATGGAGCTCTGGAAGGATTGTTGCAGTGTTTTCCTTTCAGCTAAAACTAACAATGAGCTTTTTGTGTATTTGTTTGCAGATAATTGGGTCATAACAATACAAGAGCCAATATGCTTCAGGAGATTCAGGAGATGGGTTCACATGCCAAGGATATCTATGATTTCCTTCTGTCGGGACTTGGTAGGTTTAGTTTTTTTTAAACACTGAGAAAATACAGACTTGTGTTTGTTTGTCTAAATACATTTCCCCTTTCCCGCTCTAGATCCACGGATCACAGATTATCCTCTGATGCAGAGTCCCATAACCATGACGACAATACTGCTGGGCTACCTGTTCTTTGTACTGTACCTCGGACCTCGCTTAATGGCCAATCGCAAACCTTTCCAGCTCAAGGAGCCTATGATAGTTTACAACTTCTTGCTTGTGGCCTTGTCAATATTCATCGTATATGAAGTAAGAATCTGTTATCTAGCATTTAAAATATTAAAAGAATAAAGTTAATGCACATTGTTAGCATTTCATCATTTATTCAAGACTGCTTTCCTCAATGGATATTGTTGGATATATTCATTTGGTTGAACCTGCATCTGTAAGGATCAATGCCCTCAGCAAAGATAAAGTCCTGATAAACTTGTGTTTTTATTTGCAGTTTTTGATGTCTGGGTGGGCCACAACGTATACTTGGAGATGTGATGCAGTTGATGCCTCTAACAGTCCTCAAGCACTACGAGTAAGTCGCCCTAACTCTATAACAATTACTATTATTAAAGACAATGAATATAAAAACTGACTTTCCTTCCACTGAGTCACAAACTAAAAAGTCTCTCATTGTTAGATGGTCCAAGTGGCGTGGCTGTTCTGGTTCTCCAAGATTATTGAGCTGATGGACACAGTAAGTTCGCATATTCTGATGCCATGGTTTATAAAATGTGCCTTAATGTTCAGTTTTAGTAAACTGTGTTCTGACCAGAATCCCCTCTGTTAGATCTTCTTTGTGTTGAGGAAAAAGCACGGCCAGATTACCTTCCTACACATCTTCCACCATTCCTTCATGCCCTGGACCTGGTGGTGGGGAGTTGCGTATGCTCCAGGTAAGTACATAACCTTAAGTTGTCAATGGTTAATGGAGGAGGGAGGGGGAGCATTGCGGAAGTGTTATGCAGTTGGCTCATCCTGCATACCAATCTTGAAGATAAGATGGTCTTTTTAAAGCCTTTCAAGAAGCTTTGTACAGATGACCTGACTATCGATATGAAAATGATTAACCAAGAGAATTCGGTGTGATGTTTGTGGTTATCACTTCAGGTGGAATGGGATCTTTCCATGCCATGGTAAACTCTTCCGTCCATGTTGTTATGTATTTCTACTATGGCCTTTCTGCTGCTGGACCTCGCTTCCAGAAATTTTTGTGGTGGAAGAAATACATGACTGCAATTCAGTTGGTACGTATAGCCTATACTGACTCAGTGGTGTTACCAGTAGAGCACATTTTTATTGTGTATTTGGCTAATTTCTCATTTTTCTTCTCAATAGATCCAGTTTGTGCTGGTATCTCTCCATGCTACCCAGTATTACTTCATGAGCAGCTGTGATTACCAGTTCCCTGTGATCCTCCACCTCATCTGGATTTATGGTACCTTCTTCTTTGTTCTGTTCTCCAACTTCTGGTTCCAGGCTTACATTAAGGGCAAGCGACTGCCGAAACAGTGTCAGAACAGCACAGCTGTGCACACAAATGGCAAATACTGTGAGAATGGCAACGGTGTGAAAAACGGTACTGCCAATGGTGTATCACACGGGGTTACCAATGGCTCGGTCCACCACGAGAATGGCAGCTCTTACATGGGTAAGATGAAGAAGGCCTAGGAAGTCTGGAAGGAAAAGCCCAAGATGTATGGCCCTGTAAACCTGATAAAACTACTACAGATTCCAAATAATTTGTTCCTTTCTTTTTCTGTTTTTAGTTTTCTATGTAAAATGTGGGAGGATGATGTGGTCAGTGACTTCCACAGGTGGGGTCCCAAATTTGGTTGTTTGGTTTGTTAGTTTCTTTGCATTGGGGAACCATCTATGGAACACAATGTATGAAGAGAAGATGTTTTGACCCATGTTGTCTTCACTGATGTTGCAAACAACCTCCTAGTTCAGTATCACTCTGGTGGCCTTTCACCACACTTGTCTTCACTTCTTATCTGACCCCCATGTCCTCCTGACACACTGTGGACAGATGACTGTACAGTTTCTATCAAACTTGAAGATGCTTTTTGTAAATAGTTTTACAAAAAAAAAAAAGAAACTAATTGTATTGCTATACTTTAGACTTTCTAAAATTTGTTACTTTGTATTTAATTAATATGCAAATAAATCCCATTTTAAATGATCAGCGTTGACTTTTTTTTCCCCCAAACTCTGACAACAGTTTATTGGATATGTAACTTGATTTTACTTAGCAGATCTTTGGGCTCCAACATTTTGCTGTCGCAGCAAAAGTATTTGCATTGTCTGCATGTGCTTCTTGTCTCTGCCATCCCAAATATGTGCAGCAAGTAGGAGGTCAACAAGGGCTCTATTCTTCATGGCACAAGGCAGAAATTGCGTCCCGCAGACCGGAACCACCAGAACAATTCCCGCTCAAATCAGTTCATCAGGGTCAGGAATGGGGTGATTGCAAAAAGGTTTACTTTGCCTGTGTTAGGCAGATAAATTAGCTGCCTATCCAGAATATAAAATGATATTAAAATCATTAAATTACACTGCAGATTTTTTTTCCCTTATTCTGCATAGGCAGCCATAAATGAACTTAAAATTGTTATAAATTGGATAACAATTCAGAACTTTTTGTTGTTGGCGTGTGGGTTTTTTTTTAAATGGTGGGAGACCTAAATCGTTTATAGCTGCAATATAATGCCTTTTGATGGTCATATTAAAAACTGTAAATTTCCAAAAGCAACCTAAGGAGGTCACAAGTACATGTTTCTAGGTCTTACAGGAGCAAAAGTCAAGTCTCTAGGAATGAGTTGGGGGGGCGGTAAACGGTAAAAAGCATAACCTTCCTTTTGATGAAAAATAGCAATATTACAGTAAAACCGCTCGGGGTCCTTGGGCAATAGACAAGAACTCGGTCACTGTTGCAAGTTTAATTCCAAGCTAACATTACATTTCATGAGCAGTCAGTTAAAATTCATCAAATATTAAAACATTCTCCAGGCATTCATTCAGTGCGCATGAAGCTGCTATTTGGATTTGATACATAACTTCAAGTCATTCTCTTAGCTTTAAGGTTGTGAGCTATCACTTTAAAGGTATTGACTGTAAAATATGTATTAAACATTGTGACATTGATGATTTCAAGCCATGAAATTGCTACTACAGTGCGAGAGCTGCACCCTTATCTAATGGTCCATCGTAGGTTTCATGCGTAGCCTGATTGATTGTGGCTGGGCCGAGTGAGATCAGAAAACCACAAAGAGTCAGATCTCTTGGATGAGATGGATGCGGACCTTGGATATGATCCGCTTTGCCTTTGGAATGCTTTTATTGCCCTGAAACTGGTGAGAAGTGCTGAAGATGAAGCAGTGGTCAGGGTTAAGAAGATGAATTAGTGGAAAGTCTGAGTTCTCTAAGTGATGTTCTCAAGGATGTAAAAAATGAGCTCCATCACTATGGGCTCGCCGTCCCTCTTGCGCCCCCTGCTGTGGATGACAGGAATCAGCACGCTATTCAGCGCATTGAGGTACTGAGCTGGGAGGGGCTGCCCATTGCTTCCTGCCACAAATCCAGCCTGAAATAACAAATAAGCCACTTATTAGTTTTTTAAAAAGCCACAGTGTTGTTCTAAACTTTGTTCAAAGCTTTCTTTACTAATGAGATAAAGTTCTAGGCTAGGTTTTCTATTTTTTTTCCACAAGAGAACGACGTGTTGCTGTAGTCAAAGTTCATACTGGGAAGTAACACAAGCTGTTTTATTTCACAACAAAGCTCGTGTTACTTGCAGAAGTGGGTGTAGCACATTAAGTAACACATTATCTCAGATAATCTGTCTATAGACCACAGTCTGCACGTCCAGCCTACGATATAGAAGCTTGGGTAAATCCGTCTTAATCACCACACACTGTATGCGATCTGGTTCACAGTCATTGCTGTTCATCTTCTTATGAATGGAAGGTTTTGCTACTATAAATCACCGGCCTGCTCCAATACACATTCAATTAGCTAAAAACATTTTTGCATTAGTGTCTTTTTTTCTTATTTTTCCGTCACTTAAAAATGTGTTTTTTAATTTGTCTCGACCAGTGAACAAATTTTAAATAGTTAAAAATGAACTCTGCTCTCCATCTAAATTACTAGTGCAGTGCTACGTTTTTACCATAAAGAACCCTGACTATTTTTTGTATTTTATTTTAGATTATTATTGTTGATGTGACCTTACATGGCTCAGGGCTGATGCTTACAAGGCCAGTTTAACCAGACAAATTGGCAGAAATAGATCACACATTAATTAGTTAGTTAGTTAGTTAGTTAGTTAGTTAGTTAGTTATACATCTCTCTCTCTCTGGCTACAAGAAGCTAAATTCTTTAAAGACCTCTTGGGAGTCAAAAGTGACACGCAGTCCCAGTTTGGCCATCCCGTCCTCTTTCAGCAGTTTAAGGTGTGGACACAGTGCCAAGCAAAATGCCCGGGCGATTCTCTCCGTGAGCCGGTTGTGTTCAGCAGAGTCAGTCACTGCTCCTTTGGGATTATCACCTGTCTGCAGGAAAAACACCTGCACAAAATATTCACGCAAATGTAAAGAGGGGTGGCTGTACACATGGACATGCTAACTTTTTTTTAGCAGATCATTATATATACTTCTGTCCAGCGGATGATCTTTCCATTTTCTTTGTATTCGGACTTCTGGAACATCTTGGTACTGCTGATAGACTCCATTGATTTCCCATCGATGGGGCTGATGATGCTGGAGAACACAAACATTGATATGCGGTTACATGTACACACAGTTTAAAACAGACTGAAAAGGATGTGTCCTGCTTACACTGGACTCTTACGCGCTTTTTTGCAGCTCTTTGTTGGGGTGTTCCAAATTCTAATCAACTAATGGCCCACCGTTAGTTTTTCACAGCTACCTTTTGAATGGGTGCTATATTGTTCTACTGGACTGAACACAAAAGCCTTCCTGCACTTCAAACAGTTGGACACACTCACCCCTTATTCACAGTGCATTTCTCCTCCACCCACTGTACACAAACAAGCTCCTGGCTCTCTGATTGGTCCAGCCGTCCACAGGTGACAGTGTGGTCTTTCATCTCCCGTAGTGATCGACGGAGCTCCGCCATGGTTTCCACGGTGATCTGCACCATTAGCCCATCTGCGAAGAGGGGACAGCGATACAGGAGAAACACACACAAACACACACCAATGGGGAGACACACGCCTAGACAAACAGTCTGTTAAAATGTACACAGACACACACATACAAAGATCAACAAATTCTGAATAAGCCAGTTTAAGCAGGGGCGCTCTACTTAAAATGTAAATGATGGCTACCCTCAGAGGTGAGGAGAAAGTAATGGTTAACCTGGCTTCTCTGGTCAGAGGGTATCCTACCTTCTACAACGCTGGATTTGGCCAGGTATCCTGCTGACGCTTTCAGCGCACTACTGAATATAATAAAGCATGATCCAGTAACTAGGAAGGAAGGAAGGAAGGAAGGAAGGAAGGAAGGAATGTCATTTTGATCAGTCTTTACAGTGACAAGGCAAAAACTACAAGTGCATGCACTGCCACCTAGAGTCACATAACTGGAACTGGCCGCGATTAACATCTCGAACCACTGTTGTTCTTTTCTTTTGCTCCGCTGCACTTAAGTTCACACTCAAACTGTTTTGTTTTATATGCAGTTCCAAGAGCTACATATGTTTAGATGCACTGTAATAATATTCAGTGGGTTTGCACAATGTTTTTGTTGTGCAGAATCCATTCAGTTTGTGCAGCAAATTTACTTGAATGCCTTCTAAATTTGAAATGTGTAAAATCTATTCTTTGCTTCCAGTGTTCTCTGGAGTATATTCAGCTAAAGATTTACTGTAAGCGATAAGATTTCATTGATCATTTATCGATCATGCTTAGCTGTTTCAAGCTTATGCATATCTTTTAGCTGATTTATTAGATCCTCGTCGTTTAACAAAACTGGAGAAGTATTAGTACTACTATACTTTTAGCTGCTGTTTTAGCCTCATTTGTTCATCTTAAATAAAGTAATTTCAGATTTTCATATTAGCTGAGCAAAACTTTCCATGTGTCCCTTCCTGCCCCAACAACTGTGTTGTTACCTTTACGTGGTTGATTGTGGATGCTGATGGCTTGGGTCTGATACTGGCCATCGTCTGCTTGGACACAGATGAGGTGGGAGTCTGCAGTGTCATTGAAGCATGCCCCTATTGCCAGCACATGCTCATTGGACTTATTCACAGCCTTCATTAGCTAACATGGGAGATAACATGGGTAAACGATAGAGAAAGAAACTATATGTAAGAGTTAACTCTGTGAGGCTTAGTGTTACCTCATTATACCCAGTGTTCGGTATTTTTATGCAAGTCCTATGAGCTTCTAAGTCCACAGTGAGCCCCGATACCACTGGTAGGCTGTAACGGTAATTCCTAAAGTCCTGGAACAAAGCAGAATGGTAAAAAGATCTGGTGTCTGTTACACCATGTTTAATAAAAGTTGTGACACCAAACTTCCACTGCTGACAGGAAGGGCGGTTTTGCAACAACACAAAAAAATGTTACAAAATGCCATACTCACCACTAACAGTCGCATTATTGTGTGACCTATATCCCCAAACAAGGGCTTCCTAAAGCGTACACTGTACAGAGGGCATGGGTAAACTGGAACAAGAGACAGAAAGTGGGTAACTGGGGAAGAAACATTATAACTCAGAGAGCTTACATAGTTGCCTGGCTTACATCTGTACTCAGCGCCCAGTCGCAGCATGAGGCGCAAGGGAAAGGCTTTGGCCCAGGCCACCTCTGCTCTGTGGACCAGCAGGCCAAAGAGGTAGGGCTGGTTTGGCAGAGGTAGACCTTGAAGGGACTGGAGAGTGGAGCGAACGTACAGGAAGCCTGCATGATCCTGACTGCCAAAGAAGCTGCTGCCAAACAGGGAGAGTGACAGGTGTTTCACAACCTTCCCTACAGAAACATAAAGATATCGAAACACGTGTTATTATAAGAGGGAAGAAATACTACAGTCGTGAAGTAGAGACTGATAATATTCTGTGTATGGGCTTGTAATGTCTCTGACCTGTGAAAGTGTCTCTGTACAGCTGAATGAAGTGCCTAAAAATGTCTTTGGGGAAGCTTTTTTCTTCAGGTAGGCACTGCAGCAGCACCACCAGCTCCACCTGCCCTACAGCGTGCATTCCCTTTGTTGTCACACACCAGCACTTCCTGTTAACGTCTAATCAGGGAAATCAAGCACAAGCTGGCAGTCACATATGGACATTTTAAACAACAAATACAAGATGTAAGAGGTAGAAATATATACTCAGAAGTTATATTTAAATTTTTAAAAAATGATCAAAATATTTTCTGCATAGTGATGTAATTCTTGACACTGCTCAATTTTAAATGTGTACATTAAGTTCTGTATGCAGTTCATAATGCACAGTAAAAGGCAAGAGGGGAAAGATACTCACAGTTGACCAACTTCACCATAGCGAGCAGGTTAGCATTGAGAACAAACACCAGAGGCTTGGGTCTGCCGCTCTCCAACTCCTGAATAAGGAGCATCTCGGAGGGCTGCTCCTCCACAGTGTAGTCTGGGGGGTAGATTAGAACATCTTTTAAAGTGTTTTCTAATCTACTCTTACTCACCACAAAAAACAGCCCAGTATTAGATTAAAGATTAATATTAGAGTGTGGCTCTAAATAAGATGGCAAGTAGCAGGTAGCTGTTATTAATAACAGATCAGTTTTATTAATGCCTTGGGACTGCCCCATTTAACCAGGCATTACAGTGTCCATGTAATAAATTAAAGTAGCAGCATTCGAGTGTAGTAAGTCAGAACACCCAACACATTAATAAATAAATAAATAAATAAAAAAATTAAAAAATAAATAAATATGGATCATGTGGAAGGATTGCCTGGTTCTCTTAAACAATGCAATCACAAAGAGCAGCAAAGAGGTATCGGAGCATGTGCACAAGCTAGAGCAGCTGAGTGAGCATGAAAAAAATATTTGGAATTATTTACAGCAAAGTAGTCAAATGTGGCTCAAGTTGTTGGTAACATAAAGACATATAGAGATTCATCATGCATATTTGGTATTGTGAAATTATGAACTGGCTCTTTAGATTAATGGGTGGAAATCATGCATATATGTAATACTTGCTGTAGTTGTCCCTTCTGGTTAGTGCTTAAACCAAAACAAAGGTGCTAGTTTCTGGTCAGTGGTTCCCTGGGATGGAATAAGAGTTATAAAAGGGGAGGGGCAGTGAAGCTAAATTACAATTACAACATTTGCCCTGAAAGCAAGCCATGGACAGGTCTGTGAAAGGTACTGTTGGTTAATGCTTAAATAAGATTGAAAAAAAAAACTGCACTAACCATCCAAACATCAAAGCCTAGAAAAAATGTCGAGGCAAATCTTGGCTTCACCATAGTGGGCTATGGAGAGAGAACACTGTGTTTTTCTTGTCATAAAATAGTAGCTTCTGACAGCAAGTAGCGGAACAAGATGGACACTTTACAGAGTCACTTGTTCCTCATTTCTTTTTTTGCACGCCGAAGTTGTTTTTCTGTATTAACTATGGGGAATGTTATAGGCAAAGGAGGGTGAGCAGAAAAAAATGAGGAACCACTAATTTATTCAGTGTGAATCTGTAATTGCTGCTTTCACTAAACTATTAACTGCTCAAAATCAGAGACCATTTTTTCCCCTTGCCATGGGCTGCCCAATTTACATAGAACTCCTATTTCTTTGTGACCCGCCATCAATATTTGCACCATGCACTATGCAAGACATGAAAGCATTAACAAAAGGGGAGGAATATAATGAAAAACAAGAAGTATCTGGATCTGAGGAGGAAACACAATAAGTTTACTTTTCACTTTGAAACTCTAAATTGGAGCTAGCCCTACCTCCTTTGACTCCTGTGGAGGTGAGTATGGGTGGCAAACCATCCAAGGGAATGAGGTTAGCAGAGCTGCTCACTAAAGCTGTGGTTCCCCAGCCGTAGGGACCACAGGCCTCCTGGAGTTGAAGGGAGGCAGAGTGAGAATACATATATCATTCATTTTCCTCTAAATCACAGAACAACAACAACATTTTCCCTGTAGTCGAGTTTTAGTGGCAAGTTTTGGGTGAACCTACACCAATCATTGTTCCATGTGGCCTCAAAGTTCTCCTGATCTGGGGTGAACCCACAGGACTTTTAACAGGCCCACCCAGCACTCGACTCATCAGCGGTGAGAACGCGGGCTCCCTGACGGGTGTGGTCGGGGCAGACTCTGAATGCTTATTGGTGAGGATTTCGTCTGCGAACCACACCCTTCTTTTTCCTTTTGGAGACATCCCTGAAGAGAGGATACAAGAATGATTTCTGCATGATTTCAAAAATACAACTACAGCAATACCTAAAAAAAAAATTACGCTCACTTTTAATGAGTGCTGAATGACAGGAAATGCACACTCGTCCCTCCTTCCCATCCAGGTGCGTAAGTTTGAACTTCAAACTGGAGCAAAGTGCACAAAAAACCTGACGACACACACATGCACACACACCACACATGAACAGAGACACACACGTACACTCCACTCCACTTACAAGTTGCTAATTTTATTTCACTTCAGATTTAATTACACAGAAATGAACTTTTAAATCCTTTTTTACCTTCCCACAGGCACGGCAGTGGTGCCTCCTCTTGGTGAATGTAAACTTGATACCACACTTCATGCAGACCTGCGCTTCGGCATCGGGGACCCACACGGGGGCCACCTCACCAAGGACAGTGACTCGATCCTTGGACAAAATGCCAACGGGGCTCGTCTCAGACATGTCATCGAGATCCACAGGAGAAGCAGCGCACTCACCCATCGCTTCCTCCCCGCGGCCTGCCCCAGCCTTATTGGTGTTTGTCTGATCTCCTCGAGATGGTCCCTCCAAGCTGCAGGTCTCATCCTGCTGCTCCAGCCCACTTTCCTCCCGCTCCTTCTCCTCAATCACAGAGTCTTCCTTTGATGGGAGAACCGGCGACTTCTGGTTCTTCTCTTCCTCCTCCTCTGCCCACGCGGCCTCTGCTGGGCCCAACACTAGAGGGCTGGGGGACTCCTTTTCACCCCATGTGGAGATGGAAGTCACAGTGCAGCTGCCATTCACCACTTGGGAAGCAGATTCAGTGGGATGTTCAATAGGTTTCTGCTCACAAGGTCCAGATTTGCTTCTGAGCGTCGCATCCGATGTGGCTTTAGATGGAGATTGCGGTCTGATTTCTCTACAGTCCAGTGCAGGTTTTGACACATCTCCATCTTTGAGCACCAGCAGACAGGGTCTGTTCAGCCAGTGGTGCTTGGTGTCCTGAAGAGACGTACTGTCCCCTTCATCTGTTTCAATGATAATGATATCACCAGCAAGAAGGGAAAGTCAACATCTCCATCTCTCTATCTGTCAAACATACACAGACTAGCACATACAATGATGCACGTCCTGCCTGCTCATTAAGGCGAAAAAGCTGTTCACTGTTAAACAGACATCTTCTAGATTTCAGCCCTCACTAATGGCAGCATTAGTGTGGTTGCCCTTGAGAGGTGTATCTGATGATCAAAATAGCCAGTGGTAGTTGTACAAGAGATTAATGATACCATATAGCAGCTGGTTCCCTAGAGAACAAAAAGTTGAGCAGTAACTTTGTGTTTAGACGTGTCAAAACCTTTGCTGCTTCCTTATATTGAGCCATATTGTTACACAAACACAAATACACACACAGAGGCGGATGTTAAATATGTGTAATGAACAAATAAAAGATGTTTCAAGTGACAGTACTGTGTTTATTGCATGTTTCAGAATAAAAATATGCAAGTAAGCCGCTTGATTCTGCAATCACTCCATTCAAGGTTTCTACATTAAGAACACCTCCCGTAATTACAGCCAATTACTGATTCAATGCCCTTCCCAGCACATTAGCAGCCGGCAGCGCAAAGGGAGTTAATGTATGCACAACTGATGTTTCATTGATCTACCAGCGTTTCCTGAATAGGCCGGTTTAAGGGGATAAGGCTCTTATAGGTTTAAATGCAGATCGTCATGTATTTGATTATTCGATTGAAAGTCTCGTCAAAACATTGGGCGCTACTGACTAACTGTACACGTTAAACTGCACTGCAGCTCATTTACAACAGAAAGCCGTCCTTAAAAAACATGAAGAAAAAATAAAAAGCTGGCGGCGTCATTTTTACCGAAGGCAACAAAGTGAAGACTTCCCGAAACAGCGGCGTGCCTGCCTGCACCGATCCGGCTCACTGAGCTCTCACTTCCCGGGACAGTGACGCATTCCACACACGTGCAAATGTTTAATGTGCTCGCGGGCACAGAGGCCGGAGGCAATGCGACATTCACCCCGCACCCCGGTACACCGGATCAGCCGGGACACTTTATTGAGGTGACGCTGAGTGAGGCTACAGTGGAGTATGTATGTAAGCAGCCCGTGTTCACGCGAAAGTGCGCAACACGCACACATACGCGCACGCGCTTTTCAGATGACGCGGTCTATGCGCGCAGCCAAGTGTTATATCAGCGTTTTTTTCAGTGGCACACACACACACACACACACACACACACACACACACACAAGCGCGCGCGCACAAGCAATGAATGGGAGTAAACGCATTCCCACCCCGGTATTTCCAGAGCAATCAAACGTCTTACCCTCAGTTATTGCTCCCAAAAGGCTTTCATTCTCATCATCCCGCGCTGTGAAGAACTTCAGCATTTTATCCTGTTACATCTGAGCGCGGAGGAAAATGGATTCAAGCAGCAGTGCCTTGCTCACAAGCGAAAGATGGGATGATTTCGCCTCTCTCTTACCCCCCCTTTCTGTGTGATCTCCCTCCTCCCCCGTGCCTCTCTGCAGCTCTTTGAAGAAACTCAAGAGGTGTGCAGAAATGTCCCTCCCCAGTTTGCTGTCCACACAGCCCGCAGGACGGTGTACAAGCCAAGACAGCAGAGCTAAGGTGCCAAACATAAAAATCCAGCCTTATGCACGACCTGTCATTCTGTAGGAAACTGACGAGGCTTCTTTTCACATGAATCTGCACACAATTCTTTGATTTATTGATAAAAACATTCAGAACATTCAGTCAATGATCACAGCATCATTTAAAAAATGTTAAACGTCTTTTTTGTTTCATAAACAAAACACACAAAAAAATCCCTTAAGACTGGCTTTAAAGACCACAGTAATCTGATAATGACTGACAGTGTGGAAGAGATTCACCGTTTACCAGATGAGCGTTGGGTTCTTATTCTTTTCTCTCTCTCTCTCTTTTTTAAATACACAACCTAGTAGTGCTAGTGTGTGACTCAGACATCTGTAGGTCATTGGAACTGTGGGATATATTTGGAGATACTGTCTGATATGCCCGGATCACTACACTCAAAAAGACAGACGGAGGCTCCACTTCAGTCCAGTGAATTTTTCTGTCAGTTTGCCTCGTTCTTTGATGCTTCATCAAAGTTCTCCACGAGATCTACAGAACAGCAAAAGCACAGCATTAAATAGTTAAACTAGAGGAACAATCTAAAGTCACATACATGAGTTCAACTGTAGTAACTTTTCAGGGCTGCAGAAAAATATTCAAAAGAGCAAATTGACTTAAATTGAGTAAAAAGAGCAATCTTCTATACTACGATGAAAATTTAACAGAGTGTAGCTGTCTCTAAGTTTTCATTCTGATCATTCTTCTTTTTATTCATGTGACACTGCATACCTGGCACATCATCATCCTCTTCCTCAATGTCCTCTGGCTTTGGAGCCTTGCTTTCAAGAGCTAAGACGAAATGCACAAAAAACACATTTTAGCTGGAAAGTGATAGAAAGTTGCCTCAAATAATGACTTTTAACCTATGATGAAGCATATCTGTATACGAGTGTTCTCTTCCAGTATGACAGTACTCCATTCACAAACCATGAGCGATGGATCATCGGTAGTGGCCTTTGGCATCACCATGTTAGCATTCTCCACAATAAGGGAATAGCTTTCAGAACAATGAGGCCCAGAGACTTGAAGAATCAATGAAAGGAGCACTGAAGCTGCACTGGTGGCATGTGGAGACACCGCTTGTCTCTGTATTTGGCAAACAGAGGTGAGAGGGTTTTTTGAGCTGAGTTTTCTATCATATATGCTGGTATTGATCTCTATGATATGCCAGTATTGGCTCATATCACTTGAAATTGAGACTTATTAGACCAGGCAACATTTCTTCCAGTCGTTTATTGCCTTAGCTTGTTTGAATCGCAGTCTCAGCTTCCTGCTGTTAGCTGACAGGTTGCTGGTTCAGAGATGATTTTTTTTTTTTGCAAAACTTGATTCTAACAAGTTACTGTTGCCTTTCTATTGGCTTGAAGCAGTCTGGCTAGTCTCCTCTGATCTCTGGCATTAACAGGGCATTTTCATCCCGAGAACTACCACTCACTGGATATATTCTCTTTTTCAGACCACTCTCTGTAAACCCTTAGAGATTACCTTCTTGTGCGGGAAAATCCCAGTAGATCGCAGCCTCTGAAATACTCAGACGAACGTTTTCATGGCATGGCACCAAAAACCATTCCATGTTCAAAATCACTTTTACCTTTCTTCTCCACTCTGATGCTTGGTTCTGTGCCTAAATGCACTGACTTGCTCTCAAGTGATTGGCTGCTTAGATATGTTTGTTAAAGACCTAATAAAGTGGCCAGTATATGTTTATACCATCTTGGCTCATCTGGAAAAACTCATCTTTAAAAGATTTGCTTCACCTTGAAAAGTAAATATTAAGTATAAAGTGGATTTTGCATATTTAACTGTGTTGTAGCTCTTCTTTGCCTAGAACTTGACTGGGGTTCAAATGGAGCAAACTGAACTGACGGGTCATGCAGCAGCTTAGAAAGTCAGAAACCTGCATATACACTGAATGTTAAGACAAAAAAAAGACGAAGAAGCCACCACAAGGTCGCACGGCTCTCAATCGACCTCTGTGATGTTAATGTGGCTTTAACTGTTCCGAGAAGCACTTGACCACCTGAACCGTTCCTAGAATCAGGACCAGGAACCAGGAAGAACTGGATAAACTGCACATTTCCAGGTGGACAAAGATTGTAGAGCCTTACCCAAGAAAACCAGAAGCTGTAAATGCTTTGGAAAGAGGGTGTGAATATTTTGCACATGAGCTGCTGCAAGAATTTCTTTCCCATGAATCAAAGTATAATCAACCTGTGGCGTCAACTACAAATTATCCTCCCAAAAAGGAAGCGAGTGAAAATGAATCCCAACTAAAAGGAAAAAGTTTAGGCATCTACTTAACAGGTAAACTTTGTGTCTCCTACCTCTTTTATCCTTTTTGGTACAAACAAGTTAAGCTGATACCAAAAATGAACATAAAATCAATGTAATAAAAATCAAAGCCCTGAGGGGCGACCCACCTTGCCGAGGGAACTGTTCTGCGAGCTTGCGCAGGCTGCTGAGGCTGTCTGCTCCAAGCTGACTGAGGATGGCGGGCAGCATCTCTGTCATCTGTTTGGTCTCAGCGTGGCCGGTGATCGCAAAGGTGTTGGCGGATAGAGAGGCCTGAACTTTGGGGTTGTTAAAGTGAATCACAGTCCCGTCATCCTTGATCATGTTCACCTGAGGAGAAAAGATCACCCAAGTTCTCTCAAGTCACCCACGTCCATGCACGTTATTGATACCTTTGAAAAACTAAACAGTGGTCTGCTCTACACGACCGCACATTCACCTACGTCAGTTTACCTCCTCAATGCCAGCAATATTGTTGACAGCAAACTTCTTCAGTGAACTCTGAAGCTTTTTGTCATCAGCTGTTGCAGTTCTGTGAACCACCTTCTTCTTCCTGCGTGCAGTGCCCTGAGAACATAAAACATACAATCAGATCAACACTTTTCTAAGTCATAGGCTGTGACTTAGAAACAGAAGAAAGGAGAAAAATACAGCGACAGAAAACGTTTGGCTAGTTACAAAATATTGTGTTTAAATCCTCTGTCCGGTTCTGATTGCTTACCACTTACACTTTCACTAATAGTTTTAGTCATCATTTAACCTTTTACAGAGTGAAATTATGTCTTCAGCTTTCTTCCCTGCCTAGCCAGTCACCCTGAAGCCAAAAGTAAACTACTGTGCAACTAGAGAGATCAGAGCCTGTTGCAAAAAAATACCATCGTGAGTTAATCAGTTATAAAAAAAGACTTTAGCTTCAATCACGAGGAAGTGCATGGGCTGATCTTTTTTTCGCAGTTTGCATGTGTGTGTGTGTGTGTAGGGGGGGGATTAAGAAGGTATATACAGCATCAACTCAAATGTTTTATCATCTCAAAACAAAACATGTCAACACCAATAACAGCAGACAACTTTGACACTGGTTTTCAATTCACACCCTAATAAGGGCATAGGGGGGCCATTCACTGTAATATAAATGGTTAAAGATTAGAAGAAATAATGGGTTAGAGAATAAATCACATACTGAATCCAAATCATGCCGTTAGATACAAAACAAATAATGGATTCATCTATTTGTCGATTGACAGAATTTTCTGAATTATTATGAATTAATCATTCGAGGATTAAAAGTAAAGCCTAATCGATATAAGAGTGATACTAGTGGTCATTTAAAAATCTAATATTCGATTATATCAGCTGATATTTTTTTTCTTTCAGACACAAAAAATACCAGTAGTGCCAGCAGTACCCCTCAGCCTCCTAGTAGAGACACCTGTCAATAAATACATTTTTAAGTCCAACATACAAACTTAACCTTGAGGTCGACGTCACCGATATTCAAACTCGTCCAAGTTTTTTAGTAGGTACACATGGTATCAATTTAAATCCTACGTTGCTTGGTACTCAAGTTCACAAACTTGAGAACTTGGTGACAACGATAGCACACATAAGCCGTGAAAGGCTGATGGACTTCCCCAACATGTGCCCTCATATCATGGTTTTCTCTGTTTCCTGTCTATTACTGTAAGGTCTGTACAATATAAAGCGTCTTGATTCAACTCTTGTTATGATTTATCGGGTCCCAATCAGCCCAAATAGTAAAGACAAATGAAAAATGCATGCTGAAAGAGTTTTATCAGACGATAATTTTCAATTCTATTGTCAGTTCAGGTTCATATATATATATATATAATATATTATATATATATATATATTTATATAATATATATATATATATATTATATTATATATATTATATATTATATGTATTGTCAGATTATTATATATATATATATATATATATATATATATACATATACCAATTCACAACAGCAGTTTCGTCTAGATACTTTATTCTGTGTCTAGAGGCAGAACTGGAGAAAACCCCAACAATCAAGTGACTCCCTTTGAGCGAGCACTTATGACAGTGAGAAGGAAAACCTCCCTTTAATTAGGAAGAAACCTCCAGCAGGTCCAGCCTCAGAGAGGGCCAGCCATCTGCCACAAGCAATAGGGAGGGTGAGAGGAAAGAGAAGAGAACAGAAAAGGAGAGCACAGGGAGACCAGACAGAAACCAGACTGAGGGAGAGGAGATAAAAATATAATGACATGTTGCAGCGGTGTATAAACACAAAGAGATGAAGCACTCAGTGCATCACATGCAGTTCTGCAGCAGTCTGACCTATAGCAGCATTACTAAAGGATGGTTTACTGTCCCCTGAGCCATCCCTAACTAAGTTGTATCAAAAAGGAAAGTTTTGAGTCTAACCTTAAAGGCAGAGAGAGTCTGTCTATGAATCCAAACTGGGAGATGGAAGGAGATCTGCCTCCTATTCTACTTTCAGAAACTCCAGGAACCACAAGTAAGCCTGCAGTCCTGCATCTTTAAAAGATGACGGGCCAGACTATTAAAAACTTTGCATGTGAGGAGAATGAGGCAACTTTTTTAAAAGGATTGATATGATCAAGCATTTTATTGTGTAAAATTAGGAAAAACTGTAATAAAATACATAAATTATTAAAATTATCATATATCAGAACTTTAATACACCACTTAATGGGCACTTTAATGAATACTTGATTCATTTTTTTCTTTTGTTTTTAATCAACCAATTTGATTGTCCAATCAGTGCTTATTTTCTGCAGGCAACACAATTAAAAAAGACTTTAAAAAAGAGCAGTAACTGGTAATTATAACCACGAACTGGAGAACTACAATAACCACCCTGCTTTTTAATGTGTCCTAGGTGATGCTGTACCAGCTCAGCAATCAAAATCCCTTCATTTTTGCAACTTACCTTTCCTCCTATCCGCACCTGGGCTTGAAGTTTTGCCAGTTTTTCCTGATTCATGTTCTCAACTATAGGAGGAAAAAAATAAAGACAAAATACATTTATTTTTAAAACAACGGGAGTATTTGCTGCAACAATATGAGCAATGTTACAAAAATACGGAAAAATATCACTATTATTACTATTATTATCATTATCATAAAAACAAGGCGAGAGAATAGAGATGTTAAAGAGACAGGAAAGCTAGATGTAGCAGATACAACTGTATCTGTAGCTCCAGAGCTGGCACTAACTTGACAGCAGACGCGCGTGTGTGTGTGCGCGCGCGCGTCTCAGACAGCTGCTGAGATGAAAACACAACACTCGGCCCACAGTGAACACACACCGTATCGCTGCTCCGCTCGCGCCGGCAGTTGCGCTCCGTCCGCAAACCAACAACCGCACGGGCCGCAAAAACCGCACCCCTCTCACAAAAGCCAGCATCTACGGGAACGAGCCTGCTCCATTAAGCACAGAGGCATGCGGCACCGAAAGATGGAGGTGATGAGGAAGAGATGACGTCACACATCATATGGCTGATCTCCCCCCCACCGTCCCACCCCTTCTTCGTCTCCGACCAGCGGGAGGGATTTGGTGTCGTGCTGCCACCTATGGGATGCTGTTTAAAGCTACACTAATAACTGTAAAGCGACACTGTCAGCGGACTGGACCACAGTGTGGGAAACTGAAGCCACTCTGGTTATTACCCGTGTACATGTCCCCTTATAGTCAATATTACAGAACAAACAAAAATCGCATGACGAGTGTGGGAACAATGTGTGGCCGCCAGTATGTGTGTGGGACTTTTCACTGATGCCTGATAAATCTAACTTTTAAAAACTCATTCAGTCACAAACTGCACAGTTGCAGGTTTGTCATTGCAAATGCAATTTTCCCAGTGAACAGTGCTACGTTAAGCATGGATGGAAGCAAACGTCTGTTTTTATGGCCTTCTGTAGCAGGCTTATTTATTCATGTATCCCCTGTTTTCATCTGCTGTTCTGCTGTTCTGACTAACTGAGCTCGTCTTGAACCACAGGCTTAGTGAGAGACTTAAACATGTTGAGGTGGGTGCTGTTGTGGTGCACTGGTTCCTGGTTTAAACCCCAACTAGGGCCTTTCTGTCTGGAGTTTTCATGTTCTCACTCATGGGTTTCCTCCAAGTACCCCGTCTTCCATCCACTGTCCTAAAACATGCAAACATGCATGTTAATGTTAATTCAAACCCAAATGTAGAGAATAAGCGCTGTGTGAATGTGTGATGTTAGTCCATTTCCAGTTCTGCTTTTGAAAACGATTGTTAATCAAACAATGTGTGCCCATTTGTAAAGTTCTGCATGAAGTGACAGAGTAGAGCTTGGAGTGGAATGTAAGTAGACGTCTACAGTGCTTAAAGCAATGTTATAAGACTACAGTTCAGGACACTCAAAGTAAAGATTGTATCTCATATTTCTGTTTTGTCAACAGATGGGATGTAATAACTAACTAAATAATAACGTGTCGTTTTAAAATTACACTCACAAAAGCAGCAAAATCCATTCTTTTTCAAAATACATAATAATTTATAATAAGAAATCACCGATTTCTTGCCTATTCTAGTCTCATATTTCAGATTCCTTGGGGCTAAAACAAGACGCACTCTGTCCTCGAAAGATGTTTAGGGTGGAGAAAACCTCGCTGTGAACTCACATTATCTTGACTACAACGCATTAAAAAAAAACATTTTCACCATTTTCTCTTTAATGTTTATGGTTTGTTTTTCCATTTTCCGTTTTATTACACAGTACAGGACAAACACATTGGAAAGTTTTGTGTTGTTTTGTAAAAAAAAAGTGTCATGATGCAGAAGCACCGGTGCGAAAAAAAATCACATTTACAAAGTAATAACGCACCTACCAGCAGACTACTTACTGCTGAAAGACGATCCTCTCAAAACATCTGCTTTCGTTCTGATCATGATCACACTTGAATGCAGCGTTACATACTTCAACCAGAAACTTCTTACTCTGATCATTCTTTACAACACTTTGAAAGAAAAGCACAACACTCACCCGAACCATTTAAAACATCAAACGTACTGATACAGGCAAAAATCATGTTTTCAATTGGTCCATGTTATAACATAATGCAGGCTTAAATTGTTTTAAAGGCTGGTACGGTATACACCATCACGTTAACAGCTCACACACTATAAAAAAAGAAAACACTTGATGACATTCAAAACACTCAATGAGCAAAAGTTTACTGTCGTGGTGAAATTGTTGGGAAAAGCTTGTTTTAAACATCAACTAGACTTTCAGCACAAAATATTTGCTTCAGGTAAAACAGTCCTCTGAAAACCTAAGTACCGGTATACCCTTACTGCTTCTGGTCCTGCTAAATGCCAGGGTTGCCTCTTCTCTTTAAAAGCATGAAAGCAACATGGGTTAAGTTTGCAAAGTCGCATTTGAACAAACCACAAGACCTCTTGAATAATGTGCTTTGGACAGACAGCACCAAAGAAGAGATGTTCGGCATCAATGCACAGCCATGTTTGATGAAAACTAAGTACAGCACAATATTAGCACAAAGACATCATACTGATGTCAGCATGGTGGTGGAGGATGATCATTTGTTTTTTTGCACGCTTATTGTCTCTTGCACATCTGTGCAAACCAAATGATTAACACATTATACTGGAATCCTTATAATAAAAAGTTAACATGTAAGGTCAAAGAAGACTCAGTCACAATCAATAAATAGTAGTGCAAAGACACAGGCTGGAGCTGCACGTGGACCAAAGCCAGGAATGAATAAAACAATGTCTACGACTTAACAGTGACTGTTGGTTCGTCTCTAACACTGTGACAGTTTTTGATAGAACTTGTCTAGTGCCCCTGATGCAGAACGCGGGGCTAAAAGTTTAGAACAAAAAGTCAATACCACAATATACAGTAATAGTGACAATTCATGGTGATCATTTTGCAAATGTTACAAGAAAACATTTGTGGTTTGTGTAAGTGCATTTTTGATAGTCTTCTAGTGTCTCAGTGCGTCTTATTCATCTGCAGGAGCTGAAATGGGATGAAACTTTGCAAAGAGGAAGAGCGCATGCAAAGGAAGAATCAAAGGAATTTTGTTTTAGACCTGGGTCACTTTAAAATTGACCTTAGGATAAGCGCTCTTTAGAAATGTCCTTCTAGTATTCCAAATGATTTTCTTTCCTTTTGTTTTTCAGCACCTTGGCGTTCTCAGATAAAAGACTCAGGACAGGGTTCAGGTGATGGATTTGATGACAACATCATGCACAGGTGTTTTACCGAGGCAGCGGCAATCAGATGAACCACTGGAGCTGCTGGTCTCCGCTGAGCTGTGGAGCATACTGCGCTGCCACCGATGCAGGGTGTAAAATTTCGAGCCACAACAGCCGTGAAGCAACACGAAGATTTTCCTGAGAACAGCCTTCCTCAGCAGGATGTAGACCCACGGGTCCAGGATCTGGTTCCATGTAGCCATGCGTATAGTCAGCAGACTAAAAGACGGAGACTCATCCGTGGCTCTGGTACTCAGAATGGTGACATGGATCTATTGGAGTGGTAGGAAAACAGTTATTCTAAATATTTATCAAATACTTTAATAGAAAACAATTTTAGACTGGTTGTGTTAGACTGGTTGTGTTAGACTGGTTGTGTTAGACTGGTTGTGATAGACTGGTTGTGTTAGACTGGTTGTGTTAGACTGGTTGTGTTAGACTGGTTGTGTTAGACTGGTTGTGATAGACTGGCTGGGAAGTTACAGGAAAAACGAGGTAAGATTAGTGTGTGCAATTTTGCATCTTTGTTGTTATTAAGAGATCTCTAATTCAAAGCATTTACTTTCTTTTTTTTAAAAATATTAGAATTGCTTAATTTGAATAATAATTCAAAACCATGATTATTTGGAAGAGTCTTCAAAGCAGCTGCCATATTGTTCAGCTTGTCTGGCATCTATTGCTTGGCATCACAAGTCCTTAATTAATACATTTGCTGATTTCCACCAGTGTACAACGATTAAACATCAGACATCTTTTACATGATGATGACAAGGATAGAAAAGAACAGTGATGGAAGTGGAGAAAAACCTGTTTGTATCAAACCCTTTAAAATGCAAAGACAGACAAACAGAGCTTTCTTAGGGCACCACAGACATGCTCGGGTATAGTAGGATCTGTTTTCTCACATTCTGTCTCCGTTCCTCTTGGTGATAACAGCTATTATTTCTGCTTATTTTTTTCATCACCTCTGTTTCATTTTCCTCCTTCTCATTTCCATATCATTGTCATTTTTAAAGGCCTCTCAATGGAAAACCCCGTCACCAATCACACTCGGCTCCATCACCGCTCGCTTATAGGGGTCATGTTACTCTCCACCTCCTTCATCTGGGAGTCTGCATTATGATGACTCGTCTCTCTGTCTTCATGCTCATGCTTCTGCAATCGATTTTCTTCCAAATGGTTTCATCTTATCACATTTATTGCACTTTTTTAAATTTTATTTTGAGTTTTTGTTTTTAATTCAGTGTTTTTTTTATTTAAATTTCAGTTTAAATGTTCAGTTTTAGTTTAGTTTTCATTTGTTTCAGTGTTACTTTTATTTTTTTATGATAACACTGTTATTAAACTACTGTGAAAATGCAAACATTACTTAAATTTGTGTGTTTAATCTAATTGACATGAACCTTTTAATCTTACTTGGTTACATTGACTTTAATGTAATTTAATTTATTGTTTTATTTGGGAATTTTTAATTAAATAAATACTAATGCTGCAAAGAATCAGATGACTGGTAATATTTAATCTCAATTTAATTTAATCTCATTCATTTAGTATTGCTGTCATTAATATTTCAGCTATGCTCAGTTAGGCTTCTATTGTTGTGGGAGTGTGATGTGGTTTCTTGTTCTGACCTCCAGTAAGCAGCTGTTAAGTTTGCTAACAATTCTAGTATTTAAAAAAAAACTCCCCTTATTGCTGTGATGTCGATGTACTTACTCATCTTCAAAATGCATCATGGACACACTGACCAACAGCAGTAGTTTAATGATCAGAAATGCAACATAACACTGCTTTAACAAAGATATATGGAAAGGCTTTAGGTGGCTGGGAACAAATCCAGCTTAGCTTCCTCAGTGTCACTCTACGCTCTGTAATTTTTCGTTTTTCCCTGTAATTTTTAACTGTCTGTTAAAGGTGTGCTGAGGAGGTCTTACCAGTAATGGGCCCCAGCATATGCAGGACACCAGCATGATAGCCAGGAGCTGGCAGATCATCTCTATGTGATAAGGCATGCTTCTGCAGTGATGCTTGTGGCGCAGTTTGGCCTGTATTAGAACACAGCCTGTTAGCGTGTTGCAGGCAATGGAGATCAGCAGTGCCAGCAGCCCCAGCAATGAAAATAGCAGCGGCAGGAGCACATCCAGCCAGTCTTTGGTTTGCTCGATAAGGAAAAAGCACCAGCTCCTGGACCTTTGAACCTTGTAGGGCTTCGACAGCATTACAGGCAGCGCAGCCACCAGTGCAGCAAGCAGCCAGGTGACCCCAAGGAGCCTTTTCATGTGGTGTGAGGCCAACACTGTGGAGTGGAAGATAGGCTTAGTGACTCCAATGCAGCGCTCCACAGCCATAGCACTTCCCAGGAACAAGGGGCTCAAGCCAAAGAACACCATACATGCCCCAAAGATGGTGCATATGATTTGATAAGGATCAAAATTCTCCCATTTCTTTTCAGCACTGTACACAAAAAGCACCAGGGATCCATTAATGAGGTGACCCAGCAGATCTGTGATCACCAGGCTGCTGGCAAACAGCAGGAAGGATGCCCTGGACTTGGTGCGGATGCTGCTGTAGGATTTCAGCAGAATGAACAGAGCAAGGCTGTTGGAGAAGATGCCAACAGTCATAGAGATTACTGATGCAGTGATAGACAGTTCCTTCTGGAAACAGGTGTTATTGGTGGGTCTAACCTCTGACCTGCAGCTGGACTCTGAACTCCCATTAGCTGACATGGCTGGAATTAAGTCTGAAAGAGAAGGTAAATGGAAAATATCTGTGTGATTCAATTAGACCAAAACAATGGTTTGGATGAAATCTACTGATAAAATTGACTTGGAAGCAAGTAAGACACAAGTTTAACATTATTAATATTTTCAAGAATAAAGCTTATATACACTTTAAACTCCTATTGCGATTGCTTTTGTAGTAATTCCCACTCATCCATTTCTCTTTCCAATAGGAACAATCAGACCACATCAGAGTGCAGTGAACGCTTCTTTCCTCAAATTCATGACCTTTTTCTGACTATTGAAGATTCCTCGGTTTGGTTGATTTCAATAAATAATTCCTTACCTCAGGTTTGGGCTTCGCTGGGATAGCTCTCCATAAGTTAAAAGCCTCCTCGTTCTCTGTCTTTAAAAACAGAAGAGACGGCAGTTAATGTTGTTCCAGTCCTTGTTCCGTCTGCGTACAGCAGGTGCCAAGTCTCGATGAGGGCGCATAGGCGAGCTGTGAGCTCAGACGCAACTCAAGAGGCTGCACACCAAGAAAGAATCTGCTTTCGTCCTCTTGTATGTGCGTTAACACTCTGGTTGGGGATTGCACCGACTGATAAAAATGCTGCCAAGCTAACATGATTAAATTATCGTTATTAATGATTGGAATTATCCATGGAACGAAAGCGTCTCCAAGTGTGAGCAAATATATCGAGAAGTTTTCCTCTCTTTTCTGTATTGTTCTATGTATTTAGTCGCCCGCACTATTTACGCAGTTATCAGCAGTGTCGGTCGCGTCTCCTGAATTGAATATTCGATAACAAATGTCTTCATAAAGTTGAACCCAAGCGCCCTAAGACCACATCAGTCTTCTCTGGTGGACGTGCCCAGGCGTTAGGCTCGTCAGGGCAGTGTCCTTTTATTTGTTGCACTCCAGATTATTAGTCAACCCCGCCTTTTTTTCTCCACATGGTAAAGTGCAGCCGGACATTAAGTCATTTTTGTTCATCTGCCATCAGGCGTCTCGTTTTCCACGGAGGTCTGCTAAAGAAAGAAGCCATGCCCTTAAGAAATGCGAACAAACTAAAGGCTGGTGAACTGAGCAAAACAAAAGTCCCATAAAAGGATCAGGAAAGGCCAGCGACCTTCTAAGTGCGCATTTCTGTCAGAAGAAACAACCCATTTTAGTTGTTTTTTTCTCAGAAGTTTTAAAAGTCATGTGAAGGACATGCTGTGCTTAACATTATTATCTATTTTAAAGAAGTACTAAACCAAATCATCACTGCAGTCTGTGGAGACAATGAAGGGTTTGATCGAAATCGATTCAGTGTTCAGAGCCAAAAAAGCAAATGTCATCTTATCATCACTGGCCTCATTTTTCTTCTTACTGCTCATCATAATTCCACTGCTGGACCGGAGATTTGTTTGTGTCGGGTGACGAGCACCACGTGTAGTTTTGAGCCATCAGCCTCAATCGGATATAAGAAAAGGGTTTTAGAGGCTCGAGGCATTCCTTGATCCAGTGCATGAGATTTCTTTCAGGTACTCCTGAAGTCACAAAATAATTTAAATAATTTTTTCCACTACATTTGCAAAACTAGCTTAAACCTATTTTGATATGTAAAATCTGTAGAGTTACTCATTTAAATAATGCTTTAAGCTAAAACTGCAGCTGTTTTATGGCTTATTGAAAGCTGACATATCTGGAGACTGGTAGGTCAGCAGCAATTAAGAATTTATACTCTTCCACAGCTACAGCTCATTTCCCCACAGTCTTTCTCACAGACTGACTCTTCTCCTGACTCAGTGTGGTTCAACTCCACACATTACCCAACCCACATCTGTCCTTCTATCATATTTGTACGTTTTCCTTTGTCTACTAAGTCTGATTCTAGAGATTCTCACTTCTGACAAAATACAACAAATCTGTTAGGAGTGCTGTTTATACACACTGCACATGATTCTAGCACTGCCTACAAAGCAGATGGAATATGTTGAAGTGCAGTTTTGTCTGCTCCGGGAGCAAAGTTCAATCTTTTTGATCCTTTGTGATTTATCTGATGAGGGAGGACAAATTGCGTTCATACTCCACATGCTCCACACTTACTTGCTCACAACAAGGAGCAAACGTTTCTAAGAGGAAATATTTATTGCAGGGGAATAGTAGAAGAAGAAGAAACTAGTTGCACACATACTGCTGATACTTACATGATTATGATTACTTATGAATCATATGATTATTTGGAAATGAAAAAGAGGTTTGGGTGTTAAATGACTGAAAACAATAAAACCGTTACAATGATGGTGGTTTTACTTAAAAACAAGATTTTTCTCATAATTTTATATATTAGGAACAGTAAAGTTGTATTTTTTCTTAGAAGTGACCTGATAATCTCTGTTACCTCAGCCACACAGAAGTTATAGCTCCTGGATCAAAGCCTTTATTGATTTGTATCAGTAGCTTGAAGTATTAATAAGAGCACAATAGTCCCAAGTTCTTTTTCTTTGCTATTAATTTCCATCCTTTGAATAAAATAAGCCAAACCATTAAGCAAAAAAATAAATAAATAAACGTGCTAAAGACCATTCAGGAATAATAATGATATATTTTGCCAGAACAATCAATTAGTAATAAAAGAAACATACCTACTCTTATCAAATTAGATAAGAGTAGGTAATTTTTCTGTAATTATATTTTCATAAAATAAATTGCCAGTGAAAGCGCAGTCTGAACAATGAAGATGCAGGTGGGAGATGATCCAGCAGCCTCCCTAGCTGTGTGTCATAATACAGCTTTCAATGACCACAAGAAAAGATGAATGAAAAGGAGAAAAGGTACTTTTCTTTTCCATTCACACGGATTTTATCTCCTGAGTCTGTAATTACCGTTGTCTGTTCTCAGTGCGAAAACAGAATGTCTTATCATCTTGAAGTGGTAATGAAACCTTTCTCTTTGCTGTCTTATGGTGGTTACTAATTATCTGAAAAGGTGACTCCTGATGCAATCATCTGAGGAGACATTACACCTTCCACTGTAGTGTTGACAAGTAGCAGAACCAGCATAAGCACAGGCATGGGAGCACAATCGCGTTCTTTTGTTGGGTGTATCTAATGGGGCTGTTCTAATAGTCAGGCTGACTCAGCAGGGTTCAGATGGAGCTGTGAGCAGATGGGGCAAAAATGGGAAAATAACCCATAATGCAGGCTTTTTGCCAGTGGTACTGTTACTTCTTCTTCACATCTCCCATCATCTCAGAAAACCACTCCAGAGCAAAGACTCACAGGTAACGTACTTTCTGTTCTCACTCGTCTTCTCTCTTCCGTCATTACTTTGCCCCATTTGTCACTCAGTCTCTGCAACCCTGCCCAGCAAATGTCCTTCGGTTTGAAATTGTTAATTCAGCAGAGTTGGTGCAAAGTGGGAGAAGTAGCAAAATGTGCTCAAAATGGAGTCACTGGCAAAACTGTTGAAAATCCTCAGCAGTTTGGACACAGGTTGGATGAAGGCCAAATATCTCACGTTAACCTCGCTTTCAGATACAGCACAAATTTGATCATGCAAGTACTTAACACTTGAGAGAGAAGCGGATTATCTGACAATAACAACAGCCGACAGCTGCCAGTTCCTGGCTCACCTTCCAGATCCACATTGTAGTTTTGTGTCATAGTCCCTCTTCCCTGACCTTGGATACAAGCTGCAGCACGACAGAGATCTGTAGGGACATAACTTATATTGTGATAAAGGATTTATGGTCTCATTTTACATCTGCTGTCGTTGCAGTGAAGTTAAAATACTAATTAACTAAACCTACTAAAAACACAAGTGTTTGTAAGTCCTTCTCATGTCACTTGCTTCTGTTTTTGCTGTTTCGCTAACAGTCTCTTCTTTTAATTACTTTTCTATTTTTGAAATGATCATGTCAGATTCTCATAAATAACTAATAAAGTTTCCACTCTGTGCCACACAAATAAACAAGCACAACTATCTGGCTCTGAGGACTCACAAACGGGTGCTGCTGGATGTAGTTTTGTGAAGCTGATGGTATCAAATAAGCTCAGAGGAAAGACTCCTACAAACAGCTTGAAGCAACAAACAAGCTCAGCTCCTGTTGGTATTTACTCAGATCTGGAACACATTCTCTTGAGTCTCATTAAGCTAATGACCTTTGTGCGCTCCTCCAGCATGTTAAACAAGTACGCCTTTGTCTTTTGTGTTTTTTCATGTTCAGACTTTCTTTAACTCTGTAATCAATGAGAAAGTTGAGGCTTCTTTTTCATTAGCAGGAGTTCTTTTTATTATGAATTAGGAATAGTGTAGGAAAAGTATTATGATTGCAGGCAGTGTTAGGGCAGCCAGCTCTAATACTCTCCAGGCAGTGCAGATTATTTATGAGTTTCTCACTTTTTCTCTGCCTTGACTCATTGGAAAAGCTCCGTCTGTGTTCCAAGACCTCCTGTTTTATAAATCAAGCACTGGGTAAAAATATGAATAATGAGAATAAAGAAACAGATGAAAAGTAGCTGCTGCTGCTGCTGTTTGTCTTTTAGCAACATGAAGAGTAGCAAGACAAGAAAAGAGATTGTTTCTTTTGTTTTTTACAGACGTTACAAGGCAGCACTGGAGGCTGTTGTTGTTAACAAGGACCCCCAACTGATCCTGTATGGAAAACTCTTTCTTGATGAGTTTAGAATAATGTTCCTCGATATAAAATTGTGAAGACTTGAATATCTGATCATCTACAGTACATAATGTCTTCAAAAGATTCTGAGAATCTGGCAAAATCTCTGTGTGCCCGGGGCCAGGGGCAATATGATACTGTAATGGAAATGACTGTATGGGCTGAGGAACAGCTCCAGAAAGGTGCACACAGTTTAAAATGCCATTGACAAGTGTAGGTCAAAGCTCTATCACCCAAAGAAGAAACCAGTGCTTGTGAAATTGTCAGTTTACACATCTGGAAGGGCGCTATTGGTGCTGCAAGGTTTTACAGCAACAGATGCTCGAATCCAGATGTTTTTTTCAGGCAAAGCCTTGCATATTTGTGTACACTGAGTCTATTATAATAGCGTGCGTGCAGTACGGACTTTTCACCAACTGAAAACATTTCATGCGTCATGAAATGAAAAAATATGAGAAAGAAGTCCTGAGACTGGTGAGCACAAATGGGACAACCTTCCTCTAACAAAAGTTCAGCAATAACATCCTCAGTTCTCAAGACGTTTGCAGGACTATTCCTAAAAGAAAAGGGAATGCTACTGAGTGCTAAACTTGACCCAACTTTTTTGAGTCATGTTGCTGTCCTCATATTCAAATTGCCCTTTTATTTTTACTTGAAACTACATTTGATGCTTTTTTATGTCCTATTGTGAATAAAATATGGGTTTATGAGATTTGCATTCTGTTTTTATTT